AGCTCGACACTGTAATGCATAATGCAATTAGTAAATACTCGACATAAAGCAGCAGCAGCAGCAGCAGCAGGAGAGTAAGTAGGAGTTGAGGGGGTGAACGTACACAGCAAAAGTACCCGCCGACACAGGCATAGCCCTCAGCAAGGTAGGACCAATACCCTTCCAGAAGCCAGCCAGACCCTCAACAGCATAAGTCTTCTTGAAGCAGTCGGTCATGCTCTTGAACTGCTGCTGGGCGCCGAAGCCATCGCACTGCATCTTACTCTTGACGACGTCGAAGGGGTAGCTGGACAGCCAGAGGGCCTCACCAGCCAGACCACCGTAGGTAGCGACCTTCAAACTGGAGATATCCTCACGCTTGACGTTGTTGCGCTTGGCATCCTGGTTCATGAGGTACTCGAAAGCCAAGAACCAGGTTCCGTAGGCCTGGGCTTCACGGAGGTAGGTGACGTTCTGACCACGGAAGAGACCCTTGAGGACACCGCCCTGGTTGCAGAGCTTGCGGATGCAGTCGATGGGGCCGTTGTACAGACGATCAGCTCCGTGGGGCTGGGTTTGCAGACGGATACGGACGTGCTCGATAGGGCCGGACAAGAAGGAGTTGGTGAGACCGGCAAAACTACCGGCCATGTAGTACTGCGTGTAGGAGAGAGTGCTGTCGGCGTACTTCTTCTTGTTGAGCTTCTCCAGACGTCTGCGGGCTTCGTGGAAAGCTCCGAATTGAACGCTGACCTGTGGGTCGGTTAGTAGGAGTGAGAAGGGACTGATGATTTGGGGGGGGGGGGGGGGGTGTTTACGCAGGCACCGATTCCGATCAACGGAGTCAGGGTACCCTTGTAGAAGGCGAAGGGGCCCTCATTCTTCAGGATCTTGGTGGCGCAGTCCAGAGCACTGGAGTACTGGGTGGTGGTTTGCAGGCGGACCTTGACAATGTCTGTTCATTGTTAGGAGAACTCCCGGGTTGGAGAGAGAGAGGGTTACCCACCAAAAGGTTGTCCTGTGCATTGTTAGTATGCGATTTGAGTAAATGTTTGTGGTGATGATGAGGGACAATTCTGGTTAAGGCATTATAAAGCAATGCGCCAGCACATCTCTCACCGTAATGGGGATGCTCCATACACGGAGGACATGTACGCGCAATTGCATCGGGGATGGTATATGTATATGTTTCAAAGAACATGGAGTGATGATTATGACATACCAAGAAGCACCTGAGCAATTCCACCAGCAGCACCAGCACCCAAATCCTTGAGGGTGCGAAGGGTTCCGCCCCCCTTCTGCATGTCCTCGAATGCCTCGGACTCCATTGCGGGGAAGTATTACAGGTTCGGGAAACTGAAAGTTGAAAGGAGATCGAGTCGTAGAGCCAAGGACGGAATCGCACCGAACGACGCAGCTGATCTCTTAATCCCGAGAACCCAGGAGTCTTTGTACAGACAGGAAGAAGGAGGAAGAAACGGAGCTTATCAGAAAGACGAGAAAGAAGAGCGCAATTGATGTCGCGAGAGTGCTCGCCTCCGATTCGGCGCTGGCGCCGAGCGCACGTGAGGCGGAAAACTGGCGGACCCGCGGGATGAGTCAGCAGGCGGCGTACGGGCGGATACACCAGCGTTACTTTGATTACTTACGGCGCCGATGTTCTTCTCCGCAGTTTTGGCGCCGAGGGTTTCGCTGTGAGCAACGACAATACATCATGCACAGACGGGCTGCTTTGGAAGTAAGTACAAATTATCTATCATTTACAGGTCTTGAGCTAATAGTCCATCCTTCTCTTCAGTTATCCCGTCGTCACGGTGTTGAATGGTCGTGCGCAACCGCCCGCAGAAATGTTGCCTTCACTCCCGTAGTAGGCTTGGTGCCTCGACGGCATTTTCGAATTTCTCCTCTTCGTCTCGATTCATCCGATTCTCCGCCATCAAACAGCCCCGGTGAACCAGTTGCAGGTACAAGCTCCGGTCCAGCACCTACGGGCCCGAAGTTTGGTAATCGTTGGGGTAGCAAAGCGCAGAGACCGCTTGGGCTGAGTCCGGCGGAGCAGGCTATCCGAGACTCTTTAGTCGCAAAGAGGCAACAAGAAGAACAGCGACAGCAACAACAGTTACAGAGACAAGAGCAAGAACGGCAGCGTAAGGAGAGGCAACAGCAATCGCAACAACGATGGAAGGAAGGGCGGTCCCAGGGCCGCACGGAAGAACAATGGCAGAGCACGAGATGGCGTGATTCCAGCTTCAAGCCCAGGCAATCTGATGCATTCCCCAGGCGACGTTCGGGTCTTAACAATGAGGACAAGGAAAGCCTGTCTCTCCAGCCAGACAAGTCACTCGAAGTCAACGTCAACAAAGTGCCCAAGCACAAGCGGTCGACAGGTTGGACATGTCCAGATTGTCAGACGAGATGCTACGGGCAGCATACCGTCTGCCCGCACTGCAAAGCACCCAGGCCGAACCTGCACGAGGGGCCGCAACGGCACCGAGGCTCACCCCGCCATCGCCACGCGGACGAGGAAGCTACAAAGATTCGAAAATTGGGCCAGTCTATTTTGTCTGATCAGGAAAGCGGGAATGCTGAAGGGCTCGGCTCAAGGGAAGCAGCGTTCAGAGGTTATATGGCAAGCCAAGGGCAATTTGCCGGTCCACGACCTGTGTTCGACTCTAATGTCGACAAAGAAATATCCGTCCAGGAAGCCAGGGAAGCAAGGAAGAAGGAAATAGAGGCAAGAAAAGAAGAGAGGGAGGCGAAGAAGGAAGAGAGGAAAGCGCAGCAGCAAGCAGAGGAAGACAAGCAGGAAAAGAAAGCTAGTGACCCTTGGACCTGGGATCCGTCATCTTTGAAGAACATCAAAGTACGTGAAGATGATGTGTCGGAAACGAAGCCGAAACGAAAGGCCAGTCGCAAGCAACGCGAGTCTGGTAGGGATGAGGAGGATCTATTTGACGAGGACGAGGAGTCTCAGCGCCGGAAGCGTCGCGAAGAGAAGAAGCGCTTGAAGAAGGAGAAAGCGCGCAAGAAGGAGATGCAAGCTAATGTCAGCCCTCTATATCTCCCCGAGTTCATCAGCGTCAGCAGTCTTGCAGACGTCATTGGCGTCCGTCCTGCACAGTTCGTTAAACGTATGGAGGATATGGGTTTCGACGACGTTACGTACGATCATGTCCTTGATGCCGAAACCGCCGGCCTGATTGCCTCTGAATACAACTATGAACCCATTTTTGACACTGGCGAGGGTGACTTGACCGCAGCGCCAGAGCCAGAAGACAAGTCAAGTCTACCTGTCAGGCCCCCGGTCGTGACGATCATGGGGCATGTTGACCACGGCAAAACCACTATCCTCGACTGGCTTCGCAAGTCCTCGATTGTCGCAACGGAGCACGGGGGTATTACGCAGCACATTGGTGCATTCTCGGTGGCTATGCCTTCCGGAAAGACCATCACCTTCTTGGATACTCCTGGCCACGCTGCTTTCTTGGATATGCGCCGTCGTGGTGCGGACGTGACCGACATTGTGGTCCTTGTCGTCGCGGGTGATGACAGTGTTAAGCCCCAAACGATTGAGGCAATTAAGCATGCCACTTCTGCCAATGTCCCCATCATTGTTGCCATGAGCAAGATGGACAAGGAAGGCGTCAATCCTGACAGGGTGAAACAGGACCTCTCGATGCACGGTGTACACGTCGAGGATTTTGGTGGTGACGTACAAGCAATTGGTGTGAGTGGAAAGACCGGCCAGGGAATGTTGGAGCTTGAAGAAGCAATTATTACCTTGTCAGAGGTGCTCGACCACCGGGCTGACCCCCAGGGTAACGTCGAAGGATGGGTTATCGAGGGCACTACCAAGAGCTATGGCCGTGTAGCTACTGTACTTGTCCGGCGGGGAACACTTCGAACGGGAGATATCATTGTTGCTGGCACCACCTGGGCGCGCGTGCGCACACTTCGGAACGAAGCTGGTCAGACAGTTCCCGAAGCCACACCCGGCATGCCAGTGGAGGTTGATGGCTGGCGAGAACAGCCAGCGGCAGGCACCGAGCTCTTGCAGGCTGACGACGAGCAGCACGCTAAGAGCGTCGTGGACTACCGTTTGGAACGGGCTGAGACACAGAAACTAAGTGAAGACATGACTGCTATCAACGAAGCGCGTCGCGAAAAGCTTGAGAAACGCCGTCAAGAAGTGGCTGGCACGGACCAGGCCGAGGAGACTGTACAATCTGGCCCCAAGCCGGTGCAATTCATCATCAAGGCCGACGTTGGTGGCTCGGCAGAGGCCGTTCTCAACTCAGTCACTGCTGTTGGTAACAACGAGGTGTACGCCAATGTACTTCGCTCCGAAGTAGGCCCGATCAGTGAGTTCGACATTGAGCACGCGGCCACAGCCAACGGCCACATTATCACGTTCAACATGCCTGTCGACCCTGTGATTTCTCGGATGGCAGAGAAGCGCGGCGTCAACATCATGAACCACAACGTAATTTACAAACTCATTGATGATGTCAAGAGCATCCTGAGTGAGCATCTGGCACCTAACGTCACCCAGCGTGTGACGGGAGAAGCAGAGATCGGACAAATCTTCGAAATTACGGTTAAGGGACGTAACAAGACAGCCATCGCAGGATGCAAGGTGCGCAATGGAATGATCAATCGGGCCAAGAAGGTCCGTGTGATCAGAGGTAATGAGACAATCTACGATGGTGAGTTGGGGATCCCTCTATGGCGTGTTATCTCTTATGACAACTGACTAACTGGCCGCAGGCTCGATCACGTCACTGAAGAACGTCAAGAAGGACGTAACGGAGATGCGCAAAGACACGGAATGTGGTATCGGCTTCGATGGCTGGACCGACTTTGCCGTTGGCGACCACATCCAATGCTACGAGGAAGTCTTCGAGAAGAGATACCTCTGATCGACATTTCGGCTTCACATTCACACACCCCCTTTTCCACTCTCAACTTCTGGCATCTGTATTTTTAGCGGACACACCCATCGTCCACCTCTACATACATACCCCTTGGCTGTTACCCATGTTTCTCATCTGCATGTCTCGAAAGCGTGTGGCTGAGCAACCCCATTCTGTACAATACGATTCCGGGGATGAGTCTATACCAAAAGTACTACGCATCATCACCACCTGGATAGAAAGAGGTCTACAAATCAAAGTTCTATACCCATCTACAAGCGATTCCCCCCCACATTTACCCATTCCATTCCATAGTATCATATCATCCAAAACTAAGACGTAAAATAAACCCATCCATCTAACCTACCTAGCCTTCCACCTCACCCTCCCCACCCACCTCGCCCAATCCATCACATCCTCCCTCTCACAAATCCTCTCAACAGTAAACCACTCCCTCGCCAACTCCTCATTACTCGCCATGCGATGCACAAAACTATGACACGCACGACACAACCACGCCACACTATTCAACCTCCACTCCTCATGCCACCCCTTCTTGACCACCTTGGCATGCACACTCCTCGGAATCAAATGATGATACGACAGCGGAATCCAATCCCGCTCACAGATCTCGCACGCATCCGTGCGCGTAGTCGCCCACACTGGCGGTGGCTTCGTCACCGACGCTACATACTCGCCTAGTATCGGCGCGAGGAAATAGGGAATGTCAGATGCGGATTCAATGACCGCGTACGCCGTTAGGGTATCTGTGATGGAGGCGGGTAGGGTATGCGAGGTCCTTTCGGCGAGGTGTTGTGGACTGTACTCTTTGTCGCTTGTGAAGTCGGTGTTGGGGTCGTAGGTGAGGGTTTGGAGTGTTGGTGGTTGGAGTGATGGGAAGGTTTCTGTGGCTATGAACTGTATTTTTTGGTGGTGACGAGAGGGGTAGAGAGAGGGAGGGGGTGGAATACCCCGCTCTCGCGCTCTCTCTCTCTCTCTCATCCTCTCTCAGTGTTGTCAGTTGGGTTTTGTTGTTGTGATAGTTGGATCTGGGCTTAGGTATAGGCTACGCACGTCGATAAAGTCGGCCAGGTCTTCTGGATCTGTTCTAGTGAATTCATTTTGCTGGACCTGTTCTGCCTCTGGTTTTGGGTCTGCTCGACTGCTGGTCTTTTGGCGCGGGGTGGTGCGCGGACGTCGCGCTTTCTTGGTTCGAGGTGTCGGAGAGAATTTCGCGACGATTGCGCTCGAGACACAGTCGCGGAATATTTGGTAGTTTTCGCTGTCGGGCGCTGTCATTGTGGGTTCATTGGGAAGGTTGTTGGGTTGTGTTGTTTGTGGTGGTGAGGCGGTTGGGTCGATGAGTGAGGCCCTTGACATCATCGTCATTCGGCGGCTTTAACATTAATCAGTAGTTGAGTTTACGGGAGCCGGGTTTCTTTCTTGTCTTCTACGACCACATCTATCCGAGACTCGATTGCGCTGGAATACTTGATTACATGATGGGGGATATTGTTCTTGCGTTCGACATTTATGGCACACTGCTCTCATTTGAGGCTGTTATTCATGAGCTGAAGCGCTTCTTGAATGACGATGCTCGGGCCCGCACCGTGGCACAGACATGGAGACGCTACCAGCTTGAATACACCTTCAGGCTGAACAGCATGGGTATGTTGCAGTCTCGGAAGGATTGTTTCTACATTGGCTAATGTCGTCTTATGCTTCAGGGCGCTATCTTACCTTCCTGGAAGTCACCCGGAATTCCCTTCTGCACGCCTTGGATGATACGGGTACCTCGCTGGGAGACAAGGAGATTGAGCATCTTATGGCGACCTACAATAGGCTAATTCCCTTCCCCGATGTCGAGGACGCTTTGAATCAGCTATCAGCCTTTTCACAAGTCACCTCAGTCATCTTTTCAAATGGCACCCGGGGCATGATAGCCAATTGTGTGGAGAGCTCGACGGTTCTATCGCAGCACAAAACATTCTTCAGAGACGTTGTCAGCGTCGACGAGGTGAAGCAGTACAAGCCCGCTCCAGCAGTCTACAGTTATCTGGCAAAGTGTGTCGGCCGCAACCAGTCGGAGATGAAGGATATCTGGCTAGTCAGTGGCAATCCATTTGACATTGCAGGCGCCCGCAATGTGGGTATGAATGCCATTTGGGTAGACCGGGCTGAGGCAGGCTGGGTCGACAAGGCGTTGCCTGATGTCAAGCCGACAGCGATCGTTCACCATCTGGGAGGGATTGTAGATGTGATCAAGCAACAATTGTCACTATAGCATCCCTACTGCTAGCAAGTTTATAGGTCTTTTACATGGGTTGACATTGGCAACATGCCGAATTTTTCAAAAGTGATGTACCACTGTAAATATTTCCAAACGCTCCACGCTTGAGGAGGAGAATTCGGGGTAAGTCAGCGAGTTGCTCTGACCTTCTATTTCCCCTCCAAGGTTCCACGGTCAAGGAGCTCAGAGTGAATAAGAAGGTGTTCAGTTTATGTATGGAAGAAAAGAAAAGAGAAGGTTGAAGCGGGCGAAAATTTCAGCTTTATAGCTGTTCTTCACCGCCCGCTTATCGATAAGGTCTTGGCGGGCATGACGATGTTGAGGCCGTGCTCGGGTGTATTTGTGCCTTGTCCGCATCGTTCTCCATCTCGCACTTGCGCTCTTTCACTTCTTCGATTCAGACCCCTTTTCTACCAGTTTCTTTTTGGCGTTACAATCTCCTTTTGTCTACTTGATCATGCCACACAGACATATCGATACTACTAAAGCAGCGTGGTTATATCCCCTGCGGGTTTGTTTGCCCACGTTGCTGCCTGTTCCCTTTTGTGACGGTGAAACTGATTGTTCGGTCTTTCTACAGGGCATTTATTATTTTGCATCGCATCGCTACCTTTGGCCTCTTTTCAAGACTCGTCTAATTCCGATCGTTCTCCTGTCCGCTTTCATCTACGTCCTGCTCTTCCTGTTTGCATATTTGCCTCAGGTGGCTTTCCTGTCCATCTTCCAGGGTGTTGGGGCCTGGATCAATGGCGCGTTCCTGGTTCTAGGAGAGGGGGCGGCCATTGTTGCTGCTCTCTTTGAAGCCTTCTTCGTCGATGAGACCCTCGTGGACATCTTCGATTCGGTGCTCGTGAGTGAGGGCCATGGCGAACTCGTCACCATGTCGAGGGTTTTGTACCCCCAGGGCGATGATGTCGTCAAACGGCTCGGCAAGCCCACCAAGAGCGCCGTTTATGCACCGTTTTCTCTACGGCAAATCGTGGAATTTATCGTGCTTCTACCGCTGAACTTTATTCCGGTGGCTGGAACACCCATGTTCCTCGTGCTGACCGGCTACCGGGCGGGCCCCTTCCACCATTGGCGATACTTTCAGCTGTTGGATCTTTCGAAACAGCAGCGCAAAGAAAGGATTCGCCGCAGACAATTGCAATACACCACGTGGGTTTCAACCTTCTTTCCCCTGACACAAACCCCCTTGACGATCAACCGAGGTTCATACTGACGCTCAACCACGAGGGAACCCAGATTTGGGACGGTGGCCCTGATACTTCAGTTGATCCCCATTTTGTCCATGTTCTTCCTGATGTCAACCGCGGTTGGATCTGCTCTGTGGACGGTGGATCTTGAGAACAAGCGCGATCTTTTGGGCAGGAGGCCCGGGCGAGATCCCGAAGGTCTCTACCGCGACGATTATAACGATGATGATGCTATGATTTAGTTTGTGTTTTTCTTTTCTTTTTCTTCTTCTTTTCTTGATGCTTCTATAGCCTTTATTCCCGCTTCTTTTAGCGTCACCCGCCTTCTTCACTTCTTTACTGCCCTTGTGGTGTCAAGGGATGTTTTTATTTACCTTGACAATTGTTGGGATATCAACGTACAGAATACCGATTTTAATGTGGTCACACCGATGACCGGGTTTAACCGAACCCTTCTTAGCGTCATGAATCATGAGTAGAGAGAGGATCGGTAGTAGTAGTTCGATCGTTCCATTATTGCCATGGTTGGTCCCTGCGACAGGACGCAAAAATACTGCCGACTCCACCTGCGGGCTTTTTCTAAGGTACTTTGGTAGACGGGGAGCCTTTCGCTGGTCGGGGATAACTAAATGTAATTAGTATCGGGGGGGTAAGTTAAGATTAGTGTGCGGCGGAGACGGACCGATTGGGAAGTAACCCCTGACGGGGCGAGACTTGGCAGCACTCTTAGCAACTTAGCAAACCTTGCCGGCGCCCGACAGTGCTCCGATCCTATAACAAAGTAGTAGACTATACTACGGAATACTAGGTAAGAGTCCCGGAATTGTTACCCGCTTCTTACTCCCAATTTGTGAGCAAATCAGGCACCGAGTCCCTAACGGCACTTGCGACGATGGGAGTCTCAGTCGGTTCCCTCCATCGTCATCGTTGGCGTCCGGCATAATTGTTGCTTATTATTCCTTTTACTACTAACTAACTCAGCCTCCTTCAATAAGGCGACCCATTCCATTTGCTAGTTTCGTTGCCTCGGGCTGCCTTTGAGCCTCAAGTTCCAGCATCACATCACACACAGTCTCATTTGTAAGCGGCGTGACGCGCAACCACGTGATCTCCCCCCGCCTGATTCGGAGTCTCGGTTCCTCCTTCTCCTCTCTCTCTCTGTCTCTCTCTGTGTGATCGACACTGCTTTGAGAAGCACCCCATTGGACATGGCACAAAACAAAAAGGAAATGATGAAAGAAAAGAGATTCGACAGAAGACAATTGGTAGTCTAAGAGAAAGAAAACTACAAAATAAAGAAAAGCCAGGCAAAACACCACTCCGAGGCTCCATAAACGCTCGTCACCGGTGAAGTACAGGGCTCCGATTCCACCCGTCATTGGAGCCCCTCTTCTCCATCGGCGGCGGAGTTTGGCCAAACTTAAGGTACCAGACTACTTCGTCCACTACTTTTGTCCGGCGTCCAGACCTCCACCGGGCGGGGATACCCTGACCTGACCGGTGGTCGATATTGCATTAGGTCACTCTGGGGTCGCTTCTTTGGGCTCACTGCTCATAATCTTAAAACTCAAATGTTGAACGGTTCTGCGAAAACCTGCGAATTCTAGTCTTTTCATCTTCCAATCTAACCCTTCTAGACTAACCCGCCGTCCCTTAATAATCTTCGAGCCTCGTTCGGGCGATCATCCTTCCAATTTCCCCCACAACAACTGGACCGTTCGTCCGATTGTACGGTCTTCGTGGACTGGACTAGCACTCTCTACTCTACTTCACCCCCCTGGTGCCCCCCCTCCTCTTCTCCGAGGTGCTGTTGTTCGCTAGTGCCCGGGACTATCGGCATATCTTAACTACTACTAGTCATTCCTGCTTGCATCTTCTCCAGGTTTTACTCGTTATCATCCCGCTATCCGTCTCCGGCCCGCACGCGACAGTGCTGCTCTGTCCAGCATCTTGTGGTGTAGTATGCGCGGACGTCCTGGTCCTGGTCCGCAACAACAACCCTATGTTCTAGGCTTCTGAATGCGATTTACAAGAGCATGGGAATATCCGCTGAGTCCTTTACATGCTCATGGACCAACGAACCAGACTGCGTAAGGCTTGTGACGCCTGTAGTATTCGAAAAGTGAAGGTATACTACACGCAGCTGTCACTGTTTAGAAGAAAGGGCAGTGTTGGCTAACTCTGCTCAGTGCGACACCAGCGGACCACCCTGTCGGTCATGCGCAAGCTTGGACATCCCTTGCACTTATGAACGACCAAGTCGACGTCGTGGTCCCCCTAACCGCCATGCAGAAGCATTCAAAAAACAAAAACTAGCAGAGTCCCCTGCAGGCTCCCCAAGTCCATCAGACCATGCCACCCCGGGTCCTCCCGGGTCAGTGGGGAGCACCACCATCCCCTCGTCCACCCCAGCACCTTTATCGGCGGAGTCCATTTGTTCTATGCCGACCCTGTGGCTATTAATAGACGATTTCTTCACCTACATCCATCCCTTAGTTCCTGTCCCCCATGAGCCCACGTTCCGCGCCGCGTTGGAGCGGCGAGATGACCTTTCTAACCCTACCTTTTTGGCCCTCACGGCCGCCATGGTCGGGACACTGGTGGCGTCCTTTCCGCGGAGGCCCAAGCGGCATCTGAAGACGGAGGCGGAGAAGGCAGCATTTCCACACTCGATGGCATTGGTCAGGCGATGCCATGATGTCGCAGTCCAAGCTAGAGGCTACGGCTATTTGGATCGAAGCGCGACAGTGTATGATGCCGCAACTAGCTATTTCCTTGGGCTTTGCGCAGGATATGTCTGGCACATGCGCCGATGTCGCGCATATTTCGCGGAATGCCTTACTATGATCCATGTGTATGACCTTTCTCGGCAGTCGAATCACTTTCGGGCAATGACTCCGCCAAGCCCCTCTTCCTCGTCGCGTTATTCGCAAGATCCTTTTGGCGGCGCTACCGCCGATCTTCACGTCGACATCATTGAGCAGGAGCTCGGACGACGCTTATTTTACACCACCATCGCCGGCTACCGGACGCTGCAGCAGCTTGGCTCCGGTGACGTGACAATCCATGTGCCTCCTGAAACTCCGACTTCGCGCTATCCTCCCTTGCCCCTCGAAGTGGATGATGAGTATATCTTCTCCACACATGTTGAACCACAACCATCTGATCGCATTTCTCTTCTGGTGGGCTTCAACGCCAACGTCCGAGTATTTAGTTCGTATAATACTCTCTCCGCCTGGGAGACTGCGTTTGGGAGCGGCCAGGTCTTTGATTGGGAACGGCAGCGCTCTCTTATGTGGGAATGTCTTCAAAAGGCTAAATCTGGCTTATCTGATGTTCCAAGGGAATTGGCTATCCAGCTATCTCAAGATCCCGAAATGGGCAATGGACATGGCCAATACGAGACTACACCTCCTGTGGAGGACCCGCGGGCTCGCAAGCGCCATATGCAACTTCAGATTCAAAAGGCGAACATCTACGCGAGCCAGTTGGGCACCCGATCATACTTGGTAGAGAAATATTGGACCTTGTACGGGGCGTGGAAAATGCAGCGAAAACAGTCCGACCAGCAAATTCCCGTCAGCCCCAGAACTACGATTAAGGTTGAAGGTGAGCCGCCGCAAAGTCTAGACACATACGATGCGGAAGCCCAATCAGATTATATTGGGAGGATGATGGGAGAAGAGCGCCGGGTGGTGATCCGGGATCTATTCATCTTGTTGCAATCGGTCAACGAGAGTAGCATGGAACCTAACGGCGGCAGTTTTGTATGCACCCTGTGTTTCCTTCAACCTGAACCGGGAGAACTGACCCCTTCATAGACCGCTAAAATCCGCCAAATCGCCTCCACATTACTCAACTTCCCGCATCATAGCATGATCACGCCCTCCACTTCTGGTCCCCAACCTTTAACATCCGCAGAAGCCGAAGCTTACCTTCGCGCATTCATTGATACTCTCGTACGCCTAGAGGGGTTCAAATCCGGACCTAGCCAGGGCAAAAGCGGTTCCAGTCCCGAGGTACACCGACAATCCATCAGCTATTTGAGCGATCACAACCGCGACGAAGAAGAGCTGCGCCAATGGGCCAGTCTGAAAGAATACCAGGCCAAGTTTGCCGAAGCAGGGGGCATGTTATCCGAACTGTAATGGACACGAAGGCATTTTTGAAGCTGACTTATTTCGCATCATTTTACAGCTGGAGTTTCTGGAATGGGATATCGATTGCTTTATTCGTTTGGGAGGCGGGATACTGATTGTTAGCAAAGCTGGGGTGGCGACGGAGTTTAGTGTTTGTACGATTTGGGGCGGGAGTATGATTGAACGGCCTTGGTGTCTATATATTTGTTTGTATTATTATAGAGTGTTTCATTGACTGTTTGGCTATGTTATCTTTTGTGAGGATACCTGTATCTGGGTTATTTCATGGGTGGATGGATGATATGATTTAATATGTTGGAAGTATCTTGAATGAGAGGGATGACAAATACCAATATTTATCGAAGTAACTGATAAATAGTACTACTAAGTACTACCAAATCGAAAGCATAAACTAACCAATCAACTCAAACCTGGAATTATATGTCTTCATTATTACTTATATCTATCAACACTCCTAATTAAAACATATCACATAACATAACAACCAAATCAAGTACTCACACTCTCCGTCTCCGTAACCCTCTCCGTAACAGTCTCCGTCTTCGTCACCATCTCCTTATCCTTCTCTGTCACAGTCACAGTCTCCCTCTCCCTCTCCGTCACCGTAACAGTCACCGTAACAGGACCCGTAGGCGTCACAGGCACAATCCTAAGAACATCACCTGACTCACTAGACAGGGACGAAGTTACCGTAGCCGTGGACGTGGACACATCTTCTTCGCTAGATTTCGTTGAAGTTTGTTCTGCGTCTAACGGAGTCGGAGTCGGAGTCGGAGTCGTCGTCGACACTTTCTCTTCTTCAGATGTTGTTGTGGTTGTCGAGGTAGGGACAGTTTCCGAGGTTGGGGTTGGTTTATCGACGACAGTAACGATGGCAGTAGCAATGATGGTGGAATCATAGGTTTGTTGTTCCGGGGTGGGTGTATCTGTGATTACTACGTAGATGGTTTGCATGGTTGTTGAGGTGGAGTGGAGGGTGGTTGTTGTGGGGGATGATGTGGATGTGGATGTGGATGTGATATCTGGGTTTGAGGGTATGAAGGAGGAGGTTCCGATGACAGTCGTTGATCCTTCGGGTGTGACTAGCACGACGACTGGGGTTGGGGCTGAGGTTGTGGTCGCGTCTTCTGTTTCTGGTGTGGGGGTGGTTGTTGTTGGGTCTGCTGGCTGGGTGGTCTTGGTTGTGGTTGTGCTTGTCGTGGGTATGGTCACCCCGATGAAGGGTTTGGCTGTGCGGGGGGTTGCTGTGGTTGTTGTCTGGCTTTCAGTGGGTGTGGGTGAGGTGTCCTCGGCTGTAGTTGTTGTGCTCTCGCTGGAGTGTGTGGTGGAGGGTGACATTTCAGGCGTTGAGGAAGAGCTAGTACTGGCTTCTGGGAGAGGTGTGATGACTCCAATTGTGAAGCTGGTGGACGTTGATGTCTCGGAGGTGTGGGATGATGATGTAGTGCTCTCGGGAGCAGCGCTTGATGATGATGCGGGTGCAATAGTGGAGGAATGTAGTAGTTTACTAGATGATGTGATCATCCCCTGGTGTGACGGAGATGTCTGAGCTGCTGGGCTGGATGAGTGTGATACTCTGACAGCAGAGGAGGATGACGTCTCGTGCGTGATGTGAGAAGAGGTTGCTGGCACAGGTGCGTGAGATGACGAGGCTTCCATTGGACCTCCCGGCATGACATTCGAGGGAGTTACAACATGGGAGCTCTCCGAAAGCGTGCTAGATGGTGTTGTGGTATGCACCACCTGCGACGAAGGACTTGTCGTATGAGAGCTTGAATCTGCACTCGAGGGAGGCGAGTAAGGTGCTGAAGATGAAGGTGTAGTTGTGGTAGTAGTTGTAGTTGTAGTCGTTGAAGTCAGCGACAAGGTAGTCACGGTGCTGTCTGACGAGACACTTGTAGATAACGAGTGCGTAGCTGCAGAGGAAGACTCGAGTAGAGAGGTAGTTGAGTCGACATGAGTAGAGGTAGTCGGAGATACTTGAACGAACGCAGCTGAGCTGGATGGCACCGGCTCAACGGTGGTGCTAGAGCTGGATGCAGTCTGAGGCAGACCAGAGGGTGTGACCGGGACTACAGTCAAAGCGTTGATCTCATCGTCGTCATCGTCATCGACCGAAGTACTGGCAACGCGCACATAAGGTGTAGTAAGCGAAGGAGATGGGGAGAGCGACTCCAGGTCTCTTTTGGAAGCAAAAGGAGCAATCGGACCAGCCGCGCAGCAAAAGACCAGGAAGAAGGTCACGAGGATAACTGGTATGAGCGACATTATCTCATCAGCTGCTGGAATTATGCAGTCGAAGTCGTATCAGGTTTATGTATGTATGTCAAGGAGATGTAAAAGGACAAATAAACGAGCAGTCAAAGAGAGGATGCAAAGATAAATAGCTGACCACGCTGCACTAACACTGATTGGCAAGTTCAGAAGCGACAGAAATTCATCTTTGACTCGAATTAGTATCTAGAAACAACGAAAGAGAGTGAAAGTGAGGGAATAGTAAAGAAGGACAATCAAGAATATGGAAGATGCAGAGCGAATGAGGGTTAGACAAGAGAAAGACCGTGTTTAAGAAAGCCAAGCGATGAAAGCGCCCATCCGTCATCTCTTTATTTAGCTGATGCCACGGCCTGGACCGTCATCAAGTGCAGCTTGACATGAAACACTCCGACAGTCCAACTTGCTGTTGTGGGACTCGAAGTTGGGATCGGTTGGCTGGCGAGAGTCGAATTGGCGCGCGACAAAGAAGTGCCGGCTGGGATGTTGCAGCACCCGCCCCGGTTGGCCAACATTTCCCATTCATTGGCAACCGTGTCAAGTCTTGCAGAACAGTGGATCATAGCAATCTTTCTACTGAGCTCTGATGAATGGATCTCGCCATGTCGGAGCATACGCCTCACAAGCTAAGCCACCATCCTGGAGCCAGCCAGGCATGGCTAGATTGGCTGAGATGCAGCCAACCACCAAGCAACAAGAGAATGAAATATCCAATTGCGAGAAATCAATAATATTGACTTGGCTATAGTCCAATGCTACTGTTAAATCATTCCTACTTTCACATACCGTCCTGATCCTGTCTCATAAAGCCTCACCCCTTGCCGCTTGAACCAGCCTCCTTCAACATAGTGGAGGCCAGCTCAGCTGACTGTAACCGTAAACGCTTCGCTAATCCCCTCAAAGGAGGATATCTTACCTTGCACACTTCTTGAGTCGCCGTAATAGTGGAGACGATATGTTCCACTCTGAATGGGATTGGGATTCCCCGTGTCATAATACTCGTCCTCGATCTGCCATTGGAGAGTGACCTCGCTATACCCCAATATCGTACTCGTTCTCTCCCAGTTATACAGAAGGTTCCAGTCGCTGTCAGTTCGCACAACATCCCAGGACCCGGTAGCTGAGTTGTACCTCTCCACAGCCGCAAAGGTCGACTCTTGTCGTAGGTTATTGCGAGGGTTTGCCCCCACGAATGTGACATTTACCATGTCACCAGGCCCGTAAGTGACATTTGCCGACGAGGATACAACATCACCGAATGCTTTGCTGATTGGCGATCCGTCATATATAACGGAGGGAATAAAGCTTAGTGAGTTGTTGGTATTGACGGGCGGTATCTTCCCGGAGGATAGCGACGGTAGACTGCCCGTCTGCGCTGACTTGCCCAGGTACGGCAGATACGTAAGGGTTAGGTTGATGTATGCTGCAAGTGTATTGGGGCCGTACAGAGTTGAGGCCCCTTCATAGCGCTGCACTCCGTATTCCTCCTCCGTGGCGACGTAATGAGCATAGCTATTGGACGGCGCACCTAGGACTACCAGAGGGTCTGCCACTCCAAGAACCTCTTTTGCAGAGCTGCCAATCGCTTCTTTCCAGCGTCTCCCAGACATGGTGGTGGCTTCGCTTGTCGAGATTACAATGAATAGTTGACCCACTCTCAGGACCTGAATGTCCACAATATTAGGTGTCCAGGCGTACGGCTGTGTGATTGGTCCCACATCGAGAAGAACCTGCTTCGGCGCTTGACACGCCTGCTGCTCTTTTGACGGCTGGTGCAAGAAAGCACGAGCAACGTACCATAGAGGGTTGGAGTCGGCTGGTCCCGTGCCATTCTGGGTAAAGTCGAAAAATCCTGGTCCGTCCGTGGTGCCGGCTGCAAACGAGAATCCCAATGCGGCAGGACACGTCTTTAGAGTACTACCATTGAACGGCGACGTAAAAGTGTAGTTTGAGAGGTCCTGGTAGGTGTGGAATGAGCGGACATCGGCGCCTGAAAGAATTCGAACAGGATTTGAATCCAAATTGGCGTAAAGTTCTTTCGCAGCCGCGTATTGTCGCCGTCCAATCTCGAAGCAGCTCTTTGCGCCGTTATCCTTCTCGCGGAAATAAGGTCCACGACCGTGGCAATCCTCCGTCTTCCCGCCACATGTGCTATCTTCGTATCGGCATTGTTGTTCAGAGCCATCCTCACACCAAGCTCCTAACACATTCGGGCTTGTATCGCCAACATTTGACTGAGAAAAGCCTGCGACGAAGTCATCGGAGAATTTTTGGTCGCCTTGGACACTGCGCTCAAAAAGCCACGCGGCCACACCCTTGTTGTCTCCGGTGATCAGGGTATTATTATTGTACAAAGATGTACCATGTACGGGAAAGAAGGTCAGTATGGCAGTGGTCTTGTTGTCGGACTCCCGATCAAACCTCAACAAAGTCAGCGTCTTGTCCACATTCGCCGAGTACCGAGCTTTCTCTTCTGCAGGGTTGGCGTCATAAGCGTAGGGGCTTCTATTGATATTGGCATCTTCTAGGTCAATCGACCCAAAGCTGAGACGTCCGGGTGCTAGACCTTCATGGGCCCGCTTGATCGAGAGGAGGACACCATCAACAATCGCCTGATAGCTCTGTTTATCAAATCCTTTGGTGGGGATTTGAGGAAGAAGGTAATTCATCCAGGCACCGGGGCCTGAATGAGAATGTGTCCCAGTAAGGGCGACGTTCTGCTCGGTGTATCGAGCATAGTCGCTGCCCAGACTAGCAAGGCCATCAAGTACACCATGGCGCACGGCAGTGTCCCCGGTCAGAGCATCCAGGATAAGGTAGATGAAAGTGTCATCTGGGTTGTTATTATTGGCCACAATGAAAGCCCGAGAGTAGATTCTCTGCCGAAGACCAGTCCCAATCTGGTCCAAGCTAGCATAGCCATTCATCCCTAACTCAACAACAGGCCTAGCAGACAATGTATCAGCATCCATGCAGCACTGGTAGGATAAAGGTAGTTTACCCCGTTATATCCGCCTTTCCTGCGCCTAGCAGGAAAATACCATCGTTGTTCGCCTCGGTTGCAGCAGCTCTGTGCGCCCACTTAGACTGTGTACCGACAATGAGTGGCTGGCTCTGGTGCTGGAACAGTGAGAACAGTTGCAGCAACACAAGTGCCGTTGCCACGCTGCTGGCGAAAGCCACACCCAGCCTGAAGTTCGCCATTCCACCGAGATAAGGCATGAGCTCTAGGAGCGTTGCAGTGCCAGAGAGCCTTCAGCCTGTCCACGGGGATGCGCACTTCTTATTGCAAGCAGGGACTGACCGAGGCACGAGCTATCACAAGGCATGCCCGGCTAATTTTTGCAACGACGGCTCCGGGGATGACACTGCAGGCAGGGCCTCTGCAACCTTGCGGGGAGGATGCGGAAGAGGCGCGATTGGTGAAAAGGCTATTGGAATGTAGGAGAAAGGGTCTGGTCCGTTCCCGTCGTCATCCGTGGCTAAGCTTGATCAGGAATGTTCTATCCAGCCCCGCGTCGACTAACTGCAAGAATATAAGTTTAGATTCGGCTCTGAAGATGGATGACATGCGGTTGGCTGGTTGAGTCATCATCATTGCAACTCTGTCAGGGTCATAGGCGGGGAACTGGCCAGTCAGGGACCAGCCCTGCCCTGTCACAAGGGACCCTGTAGATCGCATGAACCTCGTCTGAAGGTGAAGCCTAGGCTAAGCCTCCAGAGAAGTGGAGAAGAGGCCCGTCTTGCCTAAAGATCCGGGAAAGTGATGATCATGTGAGAATGAATGGGGAAAGGAGATGTCTTTGTCGCAGCTGGACGAAATTCATCTATACTTGGGTTGCCCGAAACGGTTTAGCCCCAAACACCCCGGATCATCTCCGGCAGAAAATGCTGAGTCATGCAGTGATACTCACCGCCCTCCTGTGCTCGGCGCAAAAGCTGAGACGCTCATGACGAGCTGCTGCTGCTGGCACTGTTTGATCTTATACAAGATATCACTTCGCATTGGACCCTGCCTCTTTTAGCGTCTCATTATCTAGTTCTAATACGCAGGCTCAAGTCAACATGCCTCTCATCAACGAATCCCACGATTCACTTCCTTGTAAGCTGCCTTACCTCTGCTGAGTCTCCCATCTAACGCGTGGACCTTCATTAGACATCGAACCGGCCCCTTCCACCCAGGCACGAGCAGCTGCAGAGAAGCTAATTGCGGCGGAACTTTCGCTGGATGCCAAAACCACTATCCACCCGTCCATTCCTGCATTTCCTGAGTCGCGGTTTTCTCCTCTCATCCAGCAGGAGGTGGACCGCAAGGCTGCTGGATTGCCCTTGACCGGCGGGATCGACCTCTCCCGCTATGAAGCGCCTGAGGCTCCTGCTAAAGCCGCTGACGGAACCCCTGACCTCGAGGAATGGAAACGGACACTGCAGAAGGCTTACACGGCCAGCTCCCATTTGTCAATGCGGCACGAGAATCTGGCACTGCTAGAAGAGAATGGAAAGAACGCGTGGCTGATTGGCAATTCGCAGCTGGAAGACATCCTACGGGGGCTTGAGAAGGAATTGGCTGAGATGAAGGAGGCCGCCGAGGCAGTGAACAAGGAGAGAAAGCTCGCCCAGGAAGCCAACAAGGGAGAGATTGTGGGGCTGGAGGAGACATGGAAGCGTGGTGTTGGTGCAATTCTCGACACGGAATTGGCTGCAGAGGGCCTGCGCTTGCAGATCTTGGAGCAAAGACGTCAACTGGCGCAGCAGCATGCGCAGCAGTAATGGGGGTTTTTCCGTCGACCTACATTTCTCAGGACGGAGACTCGCTCGACCAGGGTGTAGGCAGTCACACTGTGGGCCGGGTGAAAGGAGGGCATTGCTTGGTAGAGAAGCCGCTTGGGTAATGGGCGAGTTACCCAGCTGCCTGGGGCGTAAAATGCAGCTTCTGCGGTTGTCATTGGGCCTGACCCAAAGTTGAACACGACAAAGACGACGCTGTATTCGGCCCATATAAGACCATGGTAAAATTAACTGGGATGATCATTGGCGTTAGGACAAGACTTGGTGGCGATGGCCGCAGGCGGGGAAACCCCCAGCATTTGCCATTCCCCGCACCACGGCAAGATCGAGGCCATTGACACGCCGTCACCACTGCCTCAGCTCTGTTGCCAACAAAAGCGACTCCGCTTAATACAAGCAATTAATGCCTGAGAGCGAGGGTGAGAAGGAACAATTTTTCCGTCCGTGGCTATCCGGTCAATCCTCCTCATTGATTGGTGTTGCGTTTGGCCTGGCGCCGGGTTCGTCTCTCTATCCCAGTCCGCCGCGACAGCAACCATTGGAGGATGGTCTGCAAGCTCCCAGCTGACCTGTACAAGGTACGCTTGGGCTGTCGCTGAGCTTCATGTCTGAACAGGTCGCTGACTGGCGAGACCATCTCCTGCTCGATTGGCATTCTGCTTGGCGTTCTCACTGTCAAGATCTGCTCTCTGCCGTCGCAAACTTAATCCAGTCGTCCATTGCCGGCAGGAGCCAAGATACACCATTAGAATAGGCTCCCGTACGTCCATCCTGTACATAGATTAATCCACCTTTTATATCGATATATCTCTGACAACGCACTGCATGCACTATGCACGACCCCCTCTCGCCGTGCGGGGAATCTGCGGAAGCATTCTGTACTTTTGTACCTCTATACCACTGAATGAAGGTTGTATACCGTGTACCATAGACTCTCGCAGTTCTCTTTGTTCCTTGTATTACTTGGACGGTGCGAATGCTGGTTCAGATCCTTGTCGGGACTCGTATGCAAGAGGGGTTCTACATAGTGGTGCGGGGATGTATCTCTTGGTCCATAGAATTGCCTACCATGATGAGGAGGTGCTACATCATGGGGTTTGCAGGGTTGCCAGCATATAAACCGACCTCTGAATGCCAATTCCTGGTCGTTTTCTATCTTTTTTCTGTAAATCACACTCCTTCTCACTCACAATTTCTACTATCCATACGTAGTCAATCATACCCACCATGACCATCCCAGAGGAAGTGGACATCATTGTCTGCGGTGGTGGCAGCACCGGCTGCGTAATCGCCGGTCGACTTGCCAACCTGGACCATAATCTCCAGGTCCTGCTGATTGAAGCTGGTGAAGACAACCTGAACAACCCATGGTAGGTTGGACATTGTCACCTTTACTCCCCGGGGCCACCCCTAACCATGCCCTAGGGTCTATCGCCCCGGTATCTACCCCCGGAACATGAAGCTTGACTCAAAGACAGCTTCCTTCTACTACTCCCGGCCCTCAGAATGGCTTGATGGCCGTCGGGCTATTGTGCCATGTGCCCATGTTCTAGGAGGGGGCAGTTCCATCAACTTCATGGTAAGCCATGCTTGCTTAACCCGTATCTAGCAACAGTAAGACACACCTAACAGTGAAGTAGATGTACACTCGAGCCTCTGCCTCCGACTACGACGACTTCCAAGCCAAGGGCTGGACGACGGACGAGCTACTCCCCTTGATGAAGAAGCACGAGACATACCAGCGGGCCTGCAACAACCGGGACATTCATGGCTTCGATGGACCCATCAAAGTCTCGTTCGGGAACTACACGTATCCCATCATGCAAGACTTCCTGCGTGCTGCCGAGTCGCAGGACATCCCTGTCACAGATGATCTTCAGGACCTGAAGACAGGGTACGTCACTCATACCTCCCAATGTATACATGTACTTAGCGTCCTGCTAACAACATGTGCAGCCACGGAGCCGAACACTGGCTGAAATGGATCAATCGCGACACGGGTATGTCCTCATAATCACCGCATCATATATAGATAATAGAGAAACTAATAACCCACATCCAGGCCGCCGCAGCGACTCCGCCCACGCCTACGTCCACAGCACCCGGGCCAAGTACTCCAACCTGCACCTCAGGTGCAACACCAAAGTAGACAAAGTAATCATTGAGAACGGCCGCGCCGTCGGCGTCGCCACCGTTCCCACCAAGCCCCTCGCAGGCCGCGATCCCCCGCGGACGATCTTCAGAGCCCGCAAACAGATCATCGTCAGCGGCGGCACCCTCAGCTCCCCTCTCATCCTCCAGAGGTCCGGTGTCGGTGACCCCGAGAAGCTCCGTCGTGCTGGCGTGCAGCCTCTCGTGAACCTCCCCGGTGTGGGACGGAACTTCCAAGACCACTACCTGACCTTCTCCGTCTTCCGGGCGAAGCCTGAAGTCGAGTCCTTCGATGACTTTGTCCGCGGAGACCCCGAAGTGCAGAAGAAGGTCTTCGAGGAATGGAACATCAAGGGTACAGGACCGCTAGCGACGAACGGCATCGAAGCTGGCGTGAAGATCCGGCCGGATGCAAAGGAACTGGAGGAGATGAAGAGTTGGCCCACGAATGACTTCTACAAGGGCTGGGAGAGTTACTTCAAGAATAAGCCGGATAAACCGGTGATGCATTACTCTGTCATTGCTGGGTAGGCACTACACCCACTCTCCAAATAACAATATCATAGATACTAACATTTGATAGCTGGTTTGGCGACCACATGCTCATGCCCCCAGGCAAATTCTTCACCATGTTCCACTTCCTCGTGAGTATCCCACCACCCTTCCCATACCACCACCAAATCCTAAAAAAACTCACCCATTAATCAAATCAACAAACAGGAATACCCCTTCTCCCGGGGCTCCACGCACATCCAATCCGCCGACCCCTACGAAAGCCCCGACTTCGACGCCGGCTTCATGAACGACAAGCGCGACATGGCCCCCATGGTCTGGGGATACATCAAGTCGCGCGAGACGGCGCGGCGCATGGGCGCCTACGCAGGTGAAGTGACAGGCATGCACCCTCACTTTTCGTATGACTCGCCCGCGCGAGCATTCGATCTGGATCTGGAGACGACGAAGGCGTACGCAGGGCCGAACCATATCTCCGCTGGGATTCAGCATGGTATATTCCCTACTTTCCCTTATTTTCCGTCTTTATCCAGGTGGACTTAGTCCACTTGAAAAAAAAAAGAAGAATACTTACTGACATTATGTAAAGGCTCCTGGTCCCAACCCCTCGAACCGGGTACTTCGCCCGCATCACCTACAAGGTTGAACTCCAACAGGCAGGATACAAGGGAGGAAATTAAGTACAGTAAGAAGGATATCGAACATATTGAGAAGTGGGGTGCGTATCCCTTCCTTCCTACACAGCCTCCTCCTCCCTCTAACAATCCCGTACCATTGAACTGACTAATGACTGAATGAATAATAGTCCAACGCCACGTCGAAACAACCTGGCACTCCCTCGGAACCTGCAGCATGGCGCCCCGCGAAGGCAACAATCTCACGCCGCATGGGGGAGTCGTCGATGAACGACTCAATGTGCATGGTGTGCAGGGGCTTAAGGTGGCTGATTTGTCCATTTGTCCGGATAATGTGGGGTGTAATACTTATAGTGTCAGTTCCCCTTCCCTTCCCTTATCTTCTACTATTTCTATTGCTTTTCTGCAGCGAGTTTCTTTCGTAGTAGTGGGTTATATGCTAATGTGTGGTGGTTGTGTAGACCGCCCTGCTTATCGGAGAGAAATGCGCTGTCTTGACCGCTGAGGATCTTGGTTACTCGGGTAAAGCGTTGGATATGAAGGTTCCGGAGTATCATGCGCCTGGGGAGGTGACGTTTTTGTCCAGGTTGTGAGGAAAGTGTTATACCTTTCTGAGATGGGTGGGGTTGTTGTTTAGTTGGTACTTTGTTAGTTTGATTGATTGAGTAGGATGAAATTTACATGAGTCGTTATGAATTGCTTAGCAGTAAGACGATAAAATGATAATTCTTTTTCTCGATAGTAATACACATTGTTGAAATACAAACAAACATTCATGGTTCATCGGGAATGGACTACAACTTCTCCGGAGGAACCACCAAATTCACATCCACCCCCTCCTCACTCACATTAACCACCCCCTTTGCCGCAACCTCTGCAACCTTCTTCTGGTCCGCCTCGCGGTTCCAAACCTGCAGGTGCTTGCACATACCATACATTGTCGTGATCGGAGGCGCATACCCGAGCCCGCCCTGTTCTGGCGACTTGCGCGCGCGCGAATCATCCGCAATGTAATGCACATTGGTGATGGAGAAAAGAGCAGGCTGCATCTTGGCGATTTCTCCGGTGATTCTAGGGAGCCAGGGGAAGTAAACAACCTGCAGGAAGGAGTACCATTCGATGAGGTAGGACAGGATGAGGAAAGGGACGGGAGGTACGCGAGGGAAGTTAGCGGGTGTTTTGGAGAGGGTGTGCAGGAGGAGATAGACGTCGCCGTAGGTGGGGGCTGGGTTGGGATCTGTGACTAGGAAGGATTGGCCACCGATATTGGGGAGTGTGGTTGGGCTGTTGGAGTGCTCGATGAGGCGCTGTTCATAGAGTAGGTGGGCGATGGAGACGTTTTCGGCGTTGACGAAGTTTTGCATGGTGTCACTGAGCCAGCTGATAGGGTTGTTAGTCCTTGATCTTCTGCAAAGGTCATTGAGTGCTAATAGGGCTGTCTTACGCAGGGGAACCGCCGGATCTCAGATATGATGTGGTGAGAGAACCTTCCGTGTCGCCGATCCCGTAAATGCCATTCGCCGGCCGGATGCAGCCTGTACGGAAGTTTCCTTCGAGATCGTCGGCCGCGCGGACGATCTTCTCGGCCTTGGATTTGGAGGCGGCATAGTTGCTGAAGAAGTCGTAGTGTTCTTCCGGGACTGGGGTCGAGTCATCGACTACCTGGACATGACCCTTGGGGGACTTGTTCCAGGGTGCGATCCAGAAGGATTGACTACGGAGACTGACAGATCCTGAGGATGTCGAGATGAGGCAGCTTGCGCCGGCTTTCTTTGCGGCAGCCAGCACGTTTACTGTGCCGCCCACGTTGACGTCGGTGCAACGGGAAAGGAATGTCTTGAGACGCTCTCCGGGTCTGATCACGGCAGCATTGTGGAAGACGGTCAGGGGCCGGTCAGCGACAGCTTCCGGCCAACGTTGTGCGAAAGCAGTGGCCACGGCCTTCTCGTCGGCAATATTTGTCTTGAAGAAAGCGACACCCTGGTCGAGAATCTCGCGACGAGGCGCTGCAAGGTCCAAGATACGGATAGCCGACGGATCTTCTCCGCGAGCGAGCAGATGATTCACCATCCAACTTCCCACGAATCCTGGATCTGTTAGCTTTGGAACTGTAAATATGAGAAATCGCATAAGGCAGTCTCATGAGCCACGGCATGCGAATGTCTTTCGGAGATAGAACACACCTGCCCCACCGACCACGATATAGCGCCGGTTTTGCTTCGGGGGAAGGCTCTTTTGCACGTCGACTGGGTTTCGAATGGCCTCTTCATATGCTGCTTTGATTTCATCGACAGTCCAACGATGAGGAGACAGGCGGCTTACTTTCTCCGGAGTCCCTGTCATACCACGATTGACGTGGTAGAGATAGAGGACAGCTAGTCCGGAGGCAACGGCGATCTCTGAGAACATGTCGGACTGGCAGCTTTAGGCTGAAACGTGTAGTAAAGGGGGTATGCGATGCAGACAGCAGGATAAAGGACAGTCAGATCTTTCTTATTGCAGCGAAGTTAGCACTTTGCCCCTGTTGATCTGTCCCTTTGCGAACGCACAAGAAAGCAATGCTGTCGCAACAGAGATGATTTAAAATCAATATAATTCAGGTACAAGAGTATTGCTCAGCCATAAATCTCATCACTAACTTACAATCTCGCGTGGCTAAGCCTTAAAGCCACCATCCATGGGTCTCAGAAATCCAAGCGAACGGAGATTAATAGTTCGGATTGGACCGTTCGGTTAGACGAGTCAGGCCCACATGTCATTCGGTCACTGGCCAGGTGTAAGTTCGTTAAGGGGTAAAGAACCTATCAAGAGGAGAGTTTCTGTCAACCAGCCACTAAAGCATAAAACGGTTCGATAAATTTGATGCATCCCTTGATTCCGAGTTGCATTAGCAGGAGATGGCCTCCACGTGCCGGCGCCGGGGCAAAAGCAAGCAAAATGGTCCGATTCGGTTTATTTGTGACACCGGAAAATTTGATGGCGCGGTCAGGGGCTGAGACATTGAATATGACCGGATTTATTGACAGCCGAACGGCTCAATTATTGTGATTCAGAAGGTAAATTGTAAGCATCTCAACTGCCATATACTCCAACACAGCCAAATGTACTCCGTACACGCTCTTTAATTGGACGATGCATGCTGCAGGTGTCTGTAAGCACCCAATTCGTAGTAGATCCGATGCTGTGCACATTTCTATCACAATTGGGGAAATAGTACTTTGCTTGTAATTAGGACTTCGCTTGATTTATTATATCATATAGGAATCCTATCACAGGGTTTACTACTTCGTGATTGTGATTATCGTCTGGCAGAAGACTCAACAGCCAGTTCGGTATTCTTTCCGAGCGGTGGGTCGGGCTTATCTCCGCAATTCCGAGCTTGTCTCTCCCTCTACGATATGGCCGAGATAGAGATGTTTTGGGATGGCTTATACAAAGATATACCGATAAAACTGTGTTGTAACTCTCATCGTCTGCAACGGACTATCACCTAGCAAACTTACACTGTGGATTCTCACGCGAGTGCCTACTGATCAACCCAGTCGGTTACCTAGGGATCAAGGATGAAAGCGTACGTGTATACATTAAGCCCCCAGCATGATTGTTCTTAGTAAGTAGCTCCTACTCGCTACTCCAGCATCTGACGGCATTGGCATATATGCTCTTCCCTCCATTTGGACGCCCTCGTGCCTTTTGAAGTTGGAGCTATGGCCACCATAACATACGTACCGTCGTTTGCATGGCCCGTGCAACGACTCTCCGTTTCCCATCCGGGGCCACGGTCTCAAATATTGCATTTTGGATCCCTAAATATAGGCCCTTATCCCTCCCAGAATATGATAGTATACAGGGCACCATCCTTGATTTCTCGGTAGCATGCTCTGACGAATCCTCACATTCCTCAGAAGAATGGTATGGGGCTGGTCTTGGCACGTGTCGACTCAACTCTTTGGGCTCGCGCAAGAACTGCGCAATTGCCAGTACTGAAGAGAAAAATCATTTTCGCTCTCGAGATGATAATAGATGACGGCATGGTTACCTATCATATTTGGACCTGCAACGTCCGCTCGGAACACGGGCCGCTGGGTGGTGGCCGCCAGAATCAGCATGGATACCTAAAAAGAAGGGGCGCAGACGTTCTGGATCGCAAAAACAGAGTTTCGCACAGGATCGTCCTGGTTGTTGCCAGAGTTTCTTCGGCAAACCGGCACGGGCGGCACTCGGAACCGAGCCCTGAACTGTGACTGGGTGTCATGGGCCAGCATCAACCCCGTTTTAGCCTCGAAGGCCTCCCCCGCCCTGTGCTTGACATTTTCTAGTGGACTGGCTCCCTCAGGGTAAGGAAGACGCGAATGCTTCTCCTAGTTGATGTGGAGCTGGCCGCGTTCAGAATTATCCGTCTTCCGACATGGTGGTGGGGACTGGGCTTCGTTTGCGACTGTGCATCTGCCGTTTTCGCCAGAAATCCACCGCAGTGGAGATGCTTATTCATGCGGTGGTGACGTCCAGGACTTATCTCCAGTTTTCTCCCCATCTGGAGCAAATTAGGGATCCTGGGGTAGGTAGATCAGCCTGGCGAAACAGGGTCTGTTAGTGACTGCCATAGTCACGATAGGTATCCATGCAGAGAGACACTGGTAAACTTGCGATGCATGCCCATGATTCCGCATCACACTGTGTCTTATGCAGATCACACCCAGTAGGTGACGAATAGCCAGCTTTAGGTATGAACTAAGTGCGATTGGGCGGGCCTCGTATGCCGTAGCGCAATTTGAATCAGAATTCTCCTGCTACACCGTAACGCCATGCCAGTCCGTGCTGCGAGAGAGGTCAGTCACTGAGGCATTATTTCCCCCCAACACGACTGGGTAGTATATAGTAAGGACTAAAAAGGATATTAACTCACTGAATGGACATGCGACTTCCCTCGGCTAGTCAAATAATAGGGATCATTAGCCGCGTCTAACCATGGATTCCCATATCCAAATTCTAGAAGGGGTTCATAACCTGTCTGTTTTACTGTATCCGGATCGTCAGTTAGGGGACACCCCAGCACAACTCGTCTAGGCAGCGGATCTGGCAACTCAACGTGGAAGATGCAGATGACTGTTAGTTGAGTGCCTAGCGGTGAACGTATCAACTTTAGTTCTCGTGCAATGTCCATCAGCACCTGTCTTTTCCTTGGCAAGAGTCGAAGAAAGATCCGGTGGAGGAAGACCGAGGGCTTATCAGTCGCACTCCTGCCGACTGTTCTCGTCCGGCGCCCCCACTTGGAGTGTCTTCTCTCTCGTCTCGCTCTCGCGCTCTCTCTCTTTTTTTCTTTTACCCTATTGTCACTGACTCACTAGTTTTCGTTGCTAATCATTATCGTATGCGTTTCAGAATTTAATTTCCGCTAGGCTTTATCTTACAACTCCCAACGTCAATCACTCAAAGAATTGTCATCTCCCTTCCCAGCATTTGTACTCGTCTTGTTGGGTTCCATGTCTGCTGCGCTACAACTTGAAATCGCTCACAGTTGATTATTGTGGGAGCAATACTCTATTTAATTTCCTGTCGCATTGGTTACTAGTTTTCAGTTTTCTTCTTACTGAATCGAGGGCACGAGCGCAGAGTCCCAGAGCCTGTTTGTCGATTTATTATATAGAAGCTGCAGCGCATTCCAGCGCGCTCTATCTTATTCTTCCTTCAGATCACTCCTCCACCGCAGCTATATAATAGATTAGGAGGTTTATATCAGCTGTATCAGCTGTACTCGCTCCAGCTGTGGAGAGCTCTTCCCCCTCTGGGTCACGGACCGACTTCTAATTGACGCCACGAAAATGTCCTCGGCCAAGATTCCTTCTTCAGATCCCCCGGCAGGCCCAGGGGATAGCAAAGAGGGGCCTACCTCCACATATGCACAATCATACGCAGTATCAGGCTCATCCGAGGACACTATCGATCAAGTGGATGACCTGGCGCACATTCCCACGCGCGCCTCTCGAGCCTCGATACCATCTCTAGCCCAAAGAGTCACATCTATAGGGACGACTGGCACATCTGACCCGAACTATGAAGTGGATTGGGACGATGAGTTCGACACTAATAACCCGAAGAACTGGTCCTTCCCCTACAAAGCTATGGGAATCGCTATTCTATCATACAACACCTTGATTATGTGAGTCTGGCACATCGCCTAGATACGCATGAAGCGACAATGACGCTAATACCTTTCAGCGTATTATACTCAACATCGTACACATCCGGAGAGTCGCAGATTGCAGCTGAGTTTGGGGCCTCCACCACCATCGTTACGTTGGGATTGACTCTGTACCTCATCGGTCTGGCTGTGGGATCCATGTTTATGGCGCCACTAAGCGAATTGTACGGCCGAAAGCCAGTCTGCATAGCCTGCTTGTTTATCTTCACAGTATTGATCATACCTTGCGCGCTCGCCAAAAATCTTGCGACACTGCTGGTTGTGCGCTTCATCGCAGCGTTGTTCGGAAGTGTAATGATTTCCACTGCGCCGGGGATGGTTGCGGACATCGTCGAAGATGACCAGCGCGCGCTGGCAATGTCGGTCTGGAGTCTCGGGCCCGTGAACGGACCAGGTAGGCATAAACACTCCCCCGTCAAAACCTACCTGTTATTGACCCTGCCCTAGTCCTCGGACCCATTATCGGAGGTTTCGTCACCCAGTACCTGGGCTGGCGGTGGATGGATTGGATCGCTCTGATATTGTCTGGAGTCGCGTTGGTCTTTGCATGTATTATGAAGGAGACTTATGGCCCCATAATCCTGCAAAAGAAAGCCGCCCGCATGAGGAAAGAAACGGGCGATTCACGATGGTGGTGTCGATACGAACAGAAGGCCAGTCTGAGTGAACTGCTCAAGATAAATCTCGGCCGTCCGTTTGTCATGGCAGTCACTGAGCCTATTTGGTCAGTCTTTCCGAACCAGTACTCGCGTGGTCACTTCAAAGCTAATGTGCCTTTCATGATATAGTATATTCTGGAATATTTACATTGCCATCGTGTATGGCATCCTCTACCTCTGCTTCACAGCCTACCCTATCGTCTTCCGGGATATTCGCGGTTGGTCACTTGGTCTCTCCGGCCTCGCATTCCTGGGTATCGGAACTGGATGTGTGATCACCATCTCCAGCGAACCCTTGATCCGCCGCTTGATCAACAGCCATAAGCCGGACCCCGAAACAGGCAAACCACCCCCGGAAGCGATGGTGGCCTTTGTATGTATCTGCGCGCTTCTGATTCCCGCTGGAGAATTATGGTTCGCCTGGACTTGTTCGCCCGCCTCGATTCCCTGGATTGTACCGATTCTCGCGGGCGTACTCTTCGGCACAGGCAATACGGGAGTCTTCATCTACGCGACCAACTACTTGGCTGGTAGTTACGGGGTGTACGCAGCGTCCGCGCTGGCAGGAAATTCCGTGATCCGCAGCATTCTGGGAGGTGTCTTACCCCTTGTTGGAACGTATATGTATGCCGGTCTTGGTCCCAATTGGTCAGGGACCCTTTTGGGCTTGCTCGAGGTGGCTATCGTCCCGATCCCATTTATTTTCTACAAGTATGGCTACAAGATCCGGGAGAAGAGCGTGCTCATCCGGCGGATGCAGGAGGATAAGCGGCGATTGGCAGGAAAGCGCCAACACCATACACAGCAGGTGGAGAATCTTGAGAAAATCGAGGAGAAGGAAACGATGGAGGTATGAGTAAGGTGTGTGATCGAACCTGGAGACAGTGAATCGACATCAAGCGCAGGAGTACAGATGAGTTTTTGCGCAGAAAAGCATCCTTGCACAGTTGGAGTTGGCACTGAACCTTGACTTTTAAAACCTTGGAAGGAAACATTTATCTGGATAATGTGGATATATACATGTCTGTCAAGAGAGTCACGAAGTAATGGATTGAAGATCTCGGGTACCATAGTATAGCACGTAGGGGAAAAAAAGTTGAATAATTGCCAGTCATGAATCAATATGTTGATATGGGTTATCAACCTGTTCTCCGTACCCTCCTCTCCACGCCCAACGCTTCCTGCAAGATTCGCTCATACTCTCCCAACGCCACGGCGCCAGCTGGGAACACCATCACGGCTTCCACATACACTGGGTTGGGATTTGATTCTGAAACAACAGAATCATCATCACTTCTCCTATATCTCCTTACATAGCCGAGCACATTTACCCACGCGCCAACGGACAGCTCCTGCGAGGTGACTGTCTCCAGCACCGCGTTGATATCAACGGCAACAGAGGGTGGTTCCTGCGGTGGTCTCTGACGCGGATAGTTGTGTTCAAGGATGAGATGCCCCGTTTGGATGTTGTATGTCCTCACACTGAGAAAATCAGTTTCTTTACTACTATCTCCCTGAGCAGGCAAAGAAGCAAGTATCTCTAAAGAGTCTACGTGATACAGCATGTAGAATGATAAGATACAAATAGACAGACAAGGAACTCCACGCACCAACCGAGAAATCGGACCTTCGAGCTAACTGGAAGAGAAGGTAGATCGGAGAGGAATGCCCGCGTAGAAGGAAGAGGTGCGTTCATTCCAGCAGGTTCGATATTTTCATAAAGGGCCCATCATATTGAGGAATGAATGATCTCGAGGCAGCAGTGATCGATCACAAGGCAATCAATCAATCAAATCAATCAATAATAAATAATTAATTACCCATGAAATACGATGACCGGCGTGACCCCCATCCACGTGACCATATCACCCCGATAGGCTTAGCGCGGTATGTCATAGGGCCAACGAGGGGAAAACCAACTTGAATCCGGCCGGGGATCTCCTCCATCTCTTGCTCGCTCTTCTCTCGTCTCGGACCTTATCACTCTCCCTCTCTCTGTTCTGTCGCTTATCAAGGACCGCTGCCTTGCTCGACCTGGCTTAGGTGACTCGGAGCTGATCGCCTCCCACACCTTTCACCAGGATAAAACACCGTCCAGCGATCCCTCACCGATCCCGCCCCGTTGCCACGGACCATCATCTCTTTCCATCCCACCTTCCACCGATTCCAGAACCCGTCGTTACACTTCCTCCCGACTCAACACCAACAACTTCCCCATCGGACCCCGGATCGCTAGTTCCTAGCATCACCCCGATCATCGCAATAGCAACAACCCTCTATCACAGCCTAATCAACCCCCCATACACCCTTATCAACATGTGGTCTTGGTTCGGCGGATCCGCCGCTCAGAAGCGGAAAGATGCGCCCAAGAATGCGATTCTCATGCTTCGCGAGCAGCTGGACATGCTCCAGAAGCGCGAGAAGCACTTGGAGAATCTGATGGAGGAGCAGGATGCAATTGCTCGGAAGAACGTAACGTCAAACAAGGCCGGTAGGTGACCGCAGAAAAACAGTCAACTAGGCAACAACAAATGAAGACTAACAAGTTATTTGATCTGTACAGCGGCTAAGAATGCCCTTCGACGGAAGAAGGTTCATGAGAAGAATCTCGAACAGACGACGGCGCAGATCGTGCAGCTAGAACAGCAGATTTACTCGATCGAGGCGGCGAATATCAACCAGGAGACTTTGAAGGCTATGGAGGCGGCTGGTGCGGCGATGGCGAAGATCCATGGCTCCATGACGATCGATAAGGTGGATGAGACGATGTATGTTGTTTTGTTACGGTATTATCTGTGTGATGGGAATGGGGCAACTGACTATAGACTAGGGATACACTTCGCGAACAGCACCAACTCAGCACAGAAATCGCAACAGCCATTACAAGCACCTCTCTGGTCGATCAACCAGACGAGGCCGATTTGGAGGAGGAACTCGAGGGTTTGGAGCAGGAGGCCATGGACGAGCGGATGCTCAACACAGGTACTGTGCCGGTTGCAGACCAGCTCAACCGTTTACCTCCTGCGGCAAATGGAGAAAGTAAGCCACTGTCCGTCCCTTTTCTCTATGGGATTAGTTCTAACGTGAATGCAACAGTCAAATCCAAACCCCAGACCGAAGAAGAAGACGAGGAAGCAGAACTGGAGAAGCTACGTGCGGAAATGGCCATGGGATAACTGGCCAGCTAGCTATTTTGTTTTCCTCCAATTCCTTACAGACTCGGGTTTCTTTTACCTCTCCTTCTTTCCCCTTTTTAATCATATGTGTCAAAGAACATGTGCTGCCTCCATTCCACCGTTTTGATTGATTGCGTTATTTGCGCCCCTTGGAGTTAGTTAACTTACTTTTTTTCTTATTGAATCCTTGCATGATGGAATGAAATCATTGTTTACTTATGTTCGGTTCCTATATTGTGATTGAATACATTTTTGCTAGTAGTAGAGTTGAATTATGTAGCTTAGCTGATCCTTAATATTCTGTTCCATGCATGAATACCTATTTAAAACCGTATGTATCTGTTCAAGGTATCCATGTATTATCTTACACATCATACCTAGTATGTACATGACCACACCTGAAATCTAGTCCTAAGTACTGCCTTGTCTAGTGCTTTCTCCACGTATAGTAATCATGCTGCCTAGTACCCGCTCGTTCATCCATCATGAATACAAAGGTAGTAAGTAGTAACTAGTGGTCACGACGTCGTTCCCTGCTTATCACATAGGCATCCACCATACTAAGCATATACTCATTTATTACGACGAACTTAACCCTATCTCAGTTCAGTGGGAGCCTAGCAGAACCTTACTACTACGTAGTAAATACATAGGATTGATTATTATCAGAGTATTGTCGAACCTTGGTGATAATCTCTACCAATCACGCATAATATTCTTATCTAACTACAATGAAAGAAAATATTCTCGTCTCTTCCCATCCATCCATCCATCTAGACCAAGTCGGAAGTATAGTCTCGCAGTGATAAATAAGGCATAGGATGAGGTTTTATTTTGATAGATAGAGATAGATTTACGGTAAATAGCTAAGAATATGATATGAGGTAATAAGAATAGAATTGAGGAAAAAAAGATAAAAGTAAAACACTCAGATAATGAAACGCTCAAACTCCCTTATTTTTGGTAAATGATCTCGCAAACCCATCCGGAATGAAAACCCCCCGCCCATTTGAGTGTGTGTTTGCCGAAGTGAAATGGAAATAATCAGTTAGTCAGTTAGTTAGTTATACGTGAACCCCCGGAAAAAAGACGAATGGTAAAGCCACTGCGGGGAAGTGGTATATTAGGTAGCGAATGACCTTTGAAAAGTCTCTGCAGTGGCTTGAAAGGGGTAGTAAAGAGAGAGAGAGAGAGAGATAAAGAGAAGGGGTATGAAGCGTGCACATCATGGAAACCAGGCGTAACTCTTGAGTAATTTAGCGCGAGCCCCGTCGTTCGCTTCGTGACACCACTTGGATTTCCATTCCCATTCTTGCGCAGCAGCCTCGATGAGGGCTTCCTTGCACTCGGGAGGAAGCTCCTCCAGGATTTCGGGGCTCGTGAACTCGGGATTCGCGGAGTCAGCGACACTGATTAGGCCGTTGGAGCCGAGATCGTGCACATCGCCGTCTGGGCCGGGAACGCCCAGGTTGGAATACGGCGAAGATTCAAATTGGATATCATGAATGGCGAATCGGCGGGACAGTGCAGCTGGAACTGAGGAGAAGAGGGTGGATTCGGTGGTTGGCTGTTCAGATCGGCTGTCGCTGGGTTCGTTGGCTTCCCTGTCAACCGCAGCTGGCTCTGCTTCGCTGGTGCCGTTCGTCAGGCTCAGGGTGGACATGCCCTGAGCTAATTTGGTTGCAACTCGCGGGTCGGGAGGAGGCAGACGCTCCCAACGGGCGTGCGTTGGTTGCATAATCTTGGGGTACTGCATGACGTTGGTGTGGATGTCATACTGTCCTTCAAGGTTTTCGCGGCGCGCAAGAGAAATGAGTGAGTTGAAGTTGCTACAAGCATGTTAGTATACAACTAGCGTCAGGCAAGCATGTCATCACATACCTCGCCTCTCGGGCGTGTTCGAGCATCCAGTTATCACCAGTAACTGTAACCTTACGTTTCTTCGAATCCACCGCCTTTCCGGTGGGCAACGGCACCGACGGAGCGCTGGTGTGATAGACACTACTGGCACCGTGCCAGGCCACGTATTGATTCTTGTTGTAAGGCTCGCCTGGGGCAGGGAGCTTATCTTCCGGGACGGCAAGTTCGCCCTCGACATCTCCACGCTCCCTCGCGGCCTGGGTATGGTAATCATCGGTGACTTTCTTTCCACCAACAATAATCTTTGCACCGAATTCCCGGAAGACAGACCGGGCGGTGACAACACCGATAGCTCGGCCTTTGTAAGAATGGGGGATGATTTCTCGTTCGATGAGATCGCGTTTCGCTTCGTCGTCGATGATAATCTTATAGAGGAGTTTGTGCTTCTGGAAAAACAGGTACGAGTCCCTGAAACCAATGCATCGCGCAGGCTCAGTAGACAACATGTATTTGCGATCACCACGGTTGAGAATCGTAAACACACGGACCCTATATTCTCGATCGCCCAGCAGGTTGCCGTTCTTGTCCACCTTTGTCTCGCCCTCGGGGTCGTCTGGGAGAGCAACTTCGTCGTCGATAACGTCCATCATGTTGCCCTCCTTATCGATCGGAACCTGGGTAACATGCGACGGGCCCCGGTTACGTGCCCACCTTCCACCACTAGCAGCGGGACGACCGCGCCTTCGCTTGACCGGCGTGGATGTATGGATTGGGGTCTGAGGGGCGCCGTCATCAGGCGCATCCCAGTCTGGGGGACGGTTCTTCGGAGGACGGCCTATGCGGCGCTTTCGTGGGATGGCTGACATGCGGCCGCCCATGCGTGTAGGAGTGTCGCCGCGCGATGGAGGGTTCGAATCCTGGGCGGGCGTTGCAGCTGTCTCCTCCTCCTGGCTGGGTTCTGCCTGGGCTTCCGCCTCAGGATCCTTATCGGAAGCATCTCCCGGATCTTCCATCGCTGGCGATGATCCACGCGATGGGGGTGCTTCAATCATCTCCTCGTCCGAGACGTCGGGGAGCGGAGGGGCGGCATTCCCTACTGGGTAATTAGTTGTTCGCGTCCGTGACGACCGAGGCCGCGGCGGCCAAGGAAAGAGTAAAGGTGAAAACCGAGGAGATCACTTACGCATTGATTGCGCAGCTGCTTGAGCAGCCGCACGAAGTTTCCTAGCCATACCGAGACGGAGAATGGGTAAGATGGGCAATGGACGCCGACCTAGAATTTACTGGAGCGACAGAGCTGAAATGGAGGCCCTTGGGGACGTTCCTTTCCGCAGCCATTCGCGCTAGAGCCAGACGGGACTAGGTTTCTCCGAGTACCCGGGTTTTATTGTCACGTGACCACAAAGGAACACCCCTGATGCCTGAGGCAGATAGAGTTGTTCCAGCCACGTGCCGAACCAATAATGGAGATAATCGGAGACCCTCATCGAGGCTGGAGTCAGTTTGGCGCTTCCTGCACTATGATGTCATGGTCCCTTTCCGCTGATCGCCGACGGTTCGTTCCTTCGAACTGATTCGTGATCGCGCGGCCATCTTGTGTTGCCCGTTTCCCGCTTGAACAGTTATCGGCTTCCCCGTGTAGATACATTCCCTTACCCCCTAGTACTACTACCACTACTTACTACACGGCGTGTAGCAAGTGCAATATGCGGGATTTCCTCCGAGGGTCAGTCATCCTTTGGCTTTCGCTACACAAAAAACCTGTGTGGTCTAGACAGGTTCGGTAGCCTTGCATCCTGGCTGAAGCTAAACTGAACCATTGCCAGCACGACCCAAGCCAGCAGATGAATCATCTGCAGCGATAAGGTATGCGCGAGCCTGACCACTGACGTATGTAAGTGACAGTGATAACCTGTTCGGCCTCAACTTCACATGTCCACCAAAGAGGCGGTGGGAGATGGAGCTTCTGGAACCCCTCAAAAGAGACCCCCACCACCCTCAATAATAAGCGGCAGAGCAGGACTGCTGTGCTCCGCATTCCTCAACTCTGACCACCCTTCTGCATCCCTGAAGGAGGGTAGGCCCCATCGCGTCACATAATCTTCTTCAACGTGCGTTGGAGCCTGGGTGCTGCGAGGCCATCGCGGTACGGTCCCCTCCGTGGGTATCGGAATCGAGCGTGGGCCCGTGGATGTTTTCGGAGCGTCTGTGGTGACCAGATGCTGCGTGCCGCAGATCGCTTACACAACCTCGCAGCAGCCTGCAGGTGACCTACCTACTGATCGTGTCCAAGTAGCCTCAGATGCAGCGACGGTCTCCCTAGTCAACTAGGGCATTTAGCTTATTATTGGCGGATCGTGGAGGGGGCGAGTGTGAAAACAAAGCAGAACTCCACCAAAAGGTTCCCCTGGATATCTTTTCCCGCGATTTCTGGTAGGCATCAATTTCCTAAACAGGCGAGCTGAGAAGAAAATTGCTCCTACCAGAAACTTGCTATCTGCACAATGGAGCTCAGTGTCGGTTACACCATGGCAGTGATTGGCATTTTTAGGACTACCCCCTCCTCCTCTTAACCCTCATTTTCTGGTCTACGACGGCCGGATGTTTTTACCGTCGAACCAGGCCATTCTGAAACATAATCGATCCTACCTAAGCAGCGACTGCATTACAATGCTACTGGATCTGGCAGCTGCACGGACATGGTGTAACTCCGTATCGGCGACTTACCACCTCCCAGCCGTACAGCTGCCCTGAGCTTGTGATGCACAAACGTAAGGGGGTGACGAGCCCGGGATTCCCGCTAGCCTCGGGGCGCGCGATCTCCCAATCGTCCTCGACACCTTTGATTTGACTGTGCGAGGCATAGATTACGGTCTGGCCGATAGTTTTGACTCAGATAAGAGAGAGTAATGCAACGCTTCGACTACCTAAGACTGGGAAGAATTTCAAGGGATTGAGGATGCGGCTGCGGTCATACTATAGGCCCCCCCATGTAAGATGGGTATAGGAATGGTACTAGTAGACTACTGCAGACCTTACCATAACAGCCAGCAGGGCTGTGTATCATTTGAAGATAGCCGTAGTTCCGCGAACACATCTCAAACGCGGGGCATCTAACAGACCTTGAAAAGAACTTAACATGATGTCACTCAAAATCTCAAGTTATCGCTCATAGTGTAGTTAGATAGCTTGCATTGACACACCATAAGGAAACGAGGTCCGGGCGGAAAGGGCAATGCATACCTAATCGGGCAATCAGTCGATCCGAACCGGGTGCGAATTACTTCAAATAATGACCTTGGTTAAGATCCAGAGACTTTGCGGTTATGAATCATAGTAGTCCTAACAAGGTACTGTACATGTACCTCGAAGTACCTCTCCGGGACAAGTAGAGGGGGAAAGAAACTAATCCCTGTTATAGCAGTACTGTATTTGGACAACAACGAACCAAGAGAGGGTCAGTGAGCTGTGTGATGAGGGTATCTCAATGGTTGTTGATGAGTTGATGACAGTTGCGGTGACCAAGTAACTAGTACTCCACTGGTACCTACCCCACCCTCCCTCCATCCAATCCAACCGCGAAAGGAACCCCCAAAAAAAGAAGAATAAGAATTAAGAATAATGAGAGATGAGGAGGTGGCGGCGGAGAAAATGATCTCCGGTGGCATTTTCAATGATTACTTACCTTCTTGTCGGAGGGGCACTTAGCGTGAGGAGATGGTGGAGAGAGTTGAAAGAGGAGAAGAAGGAGAAAAAGCAGAAAAAACTATATCTATTTTAGCTTAAAAGAGGAATTCGCTATTGGCATGTTTTGCCGGAAATTTGAGGGTAGTGGGTGGCCGTGGAGGAGCATAAGCTTTCTACCGAATATTACCATAAGCAAGAAGAGTATCTGCAGGTCATTATATTGCATTTCTAAGTGGAAATATTGGGTGATAATGCCGTTTCATAGTAAGTAGTATACATAATATAGTAGTATAGGGAAGGAGGGAGGGATTGTGGCAGTTTTGGTAAATGGAAAAGATAGAGAAGCCTAAAGAACAGACGGACCCATTCCATGGCAGTGACTGGTGTTGGAATTATGCAGCGGGTTTTCTTGACTTTGGAGCATTCCCGGTTCCCACTCCCAGCCCACCCACCCATCCATCCATGTCCACCGGGCGGATAGCCCATCCTTGTCCAAAGAAGGGCCCAAGAGAGAAGGAGAAGGGAGGCAAACCGGCACATCATCGGACCTCTGCGGTCATCGACGGGCTTGGGAGCCTGTCATTCATCCTTTTGCTCTACACGGATAATAACTTATTCTCGTTTTTTTTCTAGAAGGAGGGGGGTGAGTGGGAGGAGGGAAGGGAAGAAGGAGGAATGGCAATTATTTCAACCATGCTGGACCCCCCTCCAGCAGAATAAAAAGAAGATAGAAGAAGAGGAGATGATGGTAGTGGTAGTGAATTAATCATCCAGGAGTTGTTTCTATTCCTGTTCCCTCTCTACTATCATTCTTCCAAGGCATCTCTATCCGTTCCAAGAACTGCCCCCCCTCCTTCTTCGTCTTCTTCTTCATCACCGCTAGATAAATGTTACTGTGTGCCTCCTCTTCCAGCCACCAAAGTGATGTGGTTCGTGGTTGACTTCACCAGTGGTTCCATCCCATACAGCGCTTCGTCTATTTGCCAGCAGCACCGCCATCTCCACTCCGTCTGAGGCCTTTTCCCTTTTCCTTTTACTTACGCCTCCTGCCGCGCTTTGATTCGTTCCCTTTCCAATGGGTGGCATTTGCCTCCAATTTTAAGGAACACTCCGAGACAACAATGCACCCTTGACTACTACTACTACTAGGGCTACTTCCTTCACCAGTAGCGTTTCCGAGGCTGTGCCAGGCTAACAGTAATCGGTTCGAAGAGTCATCATCATCATCATCATCATCAAACAAACCACCTTGACTGGTCATCACCATAAGACCCATCCTATAGTATAAGCACGTTCAACCAGACCTAAAAAAAGCCTTCACCACCAATTCTGACCTGTGTTCTGGTGCGAGAATAGAACCGGGAAGAAAAGAGGAGGTCACATCGTATTCTTGTCGTGTTTCTTCCATACAGAGCCATCGCTGGTTCCTTTGGTTTAACCTCAACCAACTCCCCCTCACCCAACAGATCCTGTAACTCACTCAGCTTCTGCACGCTTCCAAACCTTTTTTTTTTTGACGCGTTTTTGCCATCCAACTTTCTTTTCTCCTCCCCCAGAATCTCGGTCGCGAAAGTTACCACAAGTCGACGGTCCCCATCCGCAGTCCCTGACCCGTTCAGCGGCTTCAGCGGCAGCTTAGGTCTATGACTATTGGGGGGTTTGGTTCGTTTTTAACGCCACCTCATCGCCAACCTCAAATTTGAATTAACCGTCAAAACGTGATTTCCGAATTTCATCTTCCTTTTTATAACCTTGACATCTGCCGGGGTTACTTCTTTTCTTATTGTTTAAAAAAGAATTCAACCCATCCTTGTTTCGTGTTTTCTTCCTATCAGTTCTGGCCATCTGGTACGAAACCCGCCATCCGCCGGCGTCCGCCCGCCATTTGTCCGTCTGCGCCTGATTGACGCTAAGGCTCCGTCGCCCACATTGACGGGCATTAATTGCCTGCCCGAGACTGACTGATTGAGTTCTTGGAGCCCATAAGTGCCTTTCTTCGTCAAGTTCGCCCCGGGAATTCATTGGGTTTCGTCTGTGAGTAAAACCCTCCAGGTTGGTGCTTCTCATTCCGTGCCCTTTTTTTTCCTTCCCTCCCATTTTTCCCCTCATGGTCATTCATCGCTCTTCATCCTTGGCCGTCGACCCCATCAGCTCTACCCACTTTCCCTTCCACGGCTCCGTCGACACTCTCTTCCTAACAACTTGCCAGACAGTAACAGGGCATCCCGCTTTTCTACCCCTCCCTTCTCTTCGCCATCCGCACCCGATCGGATTCATCCTCCCGCAAACTTCCTTGACTTGTCAACCTCCGACAGCGTCTGACTCACCTTTTTGCTTCTCACGTTTCAACTTTCCTCGTCGAAAGACGTCATACCTTCAGCGATCTGTCCTCGACCATCTCGTCGGTTTGACATCACTACTTCTATCACAGCGGCGCGACCGACAGACTCGACCCTCGGTATTCCTGGTTGTGGATTTTGGGTGTCGGATGGAAACATAAAGATGGCTGCTGCTCAGAGTGGACTAGGGCCGCATGGAGATGCGGGCTCATTGAAGCAGCCCAGATCCCGGAGGTGAGTACAGTGTCGCAACTTTCA